CGCAGCCTTTCCTCCCTCTCCGGTCATCCTGCACTCTGTCCCTTCTATCCCTCTCTCCCTCTCTCTCTCTTTAGGCTTGAGGACAGTAGAGCGACTTTGAAGTCATGCTGCTCCAGGAAGAGAGAGCGAGCCACTCTAGCTAATTAGTTGTCCTTATCCCAACAGCAGCAGCCACCACCAGATTCCCTGGCTCAGGGGGAGTAACACAGCAGGCATTAACAGCAACTACCAACTGCTGCATGCTAAAGATACCCTTCTCCCTCTGCTGGTTGTTAGTGCTGAGGGCTAGCAACAATTTAACTCACCCCAAGACTAAACTGCACATTAGAGAAGGTGCTCCACTCAGTATAATGACAGGTAATATTAGGAAGAAATGTAATACACCGTGTCATCCACCTGTCACACCACAGTTAACTGCAGTGGAGATATATTCTAATCAATGTGTTTTTCCACATCACTGCTATCAACATAACTACTGTAGCAACATCAACCTGCTCTATCAGTCAGGTTGCTCAATATTCCTGATTTAAATAAATAATTTACCACTTTTAGACTTTTAAGAAGTATTTTCCAGTTGTGTTTAGATATAAAAGTTATTTATAAAGACATGTTTACATTCACAAAAGTAAGGTACACATCAAGTTTTGTTTTACTATCAGCACTGAGACTCTGGCACTAACAGAGCAATCTTCAAATAATATCAAGTGCTTTCAATTGGAGTTTCTCAGTCTTTTCTGGCTTGTGATTCAAGTTGTATTTCCCAAAATATTCACGACACCAGCAATTAGTGTGTGGCACTGGTGTGACCAGAGTGTCCACAAAGTTCTATCTCACATGCAAGATGTTCTGTGGCTCACCCAGCACTTTGACCTCCCTCTTGTGAAAAAAAAGGGGAGAGAAAAAGTTTCTTATTGTACCATTAACCATTATTTAAATCTCATCATTCTGTGCGATTTTAGATATGGCAACGGTTTGCTTGCACCTTAGGTATGAGTTTCACATCAATAGCTCAAGAAGAAAACACATCGTGTCCCGACAGGAAATGTGAGCACAAATGTGATGGACCTGCTAAGATGTCTGTGTTATCTTGTCTCAGCAGGGGTTTCCACAGCATGTTTGTAGCTCTCTCCTGAGCCGTGCTCTCTTTCACCCTGCTTCTCTCCATCTCTTTCTTTCTCAACCCCAGGGCCCCATGGCACAGAGAAATGGAAGTGAGAGAGAGAGAGAGAGAGGGAGGGCTGGCTGAGTTTCAGAAACATTAACCGCTCCCTTGGGATATGCACGCACGCACACACACACACACACACACACACTCAGACATACTGTATTGGTCCTAGGCTTCATTTTGTATCAGATTGCCACATTCCATTCTGTTTGGCCTCATTGCCAACTACTGCTGACACAGTGTCATATGTGCACATACTGTGTATTTTCTTTCCGTCTGTTTCTCTCTTATCATTTGAAAGATGACAGGCAGCAATGTCCCACTGATGGTAACTCTTATCATTCAAGTAACTCTATTGTTAGGTTTTCTGCTTAGAAGTCAAAAAATCCACACACACACACACACACACACACACACAGGGCTGGCACTTGCTCTTTAAAGTCAAGGCTCATTCCCTGGATACAAAATGATATAAAGTTCATAGACGAATTCGTTATCCGAGACAATTCAATGTCTTTCTGGTCTATGGTGTCACAGCCTGTGGGGCTGTGGACTAAAGAGTTCAACATTAGTTATATAAAGTTCAGCACAGTGAATAAAGAATAGGCCTGTCTGCCAGATATTCTGAGATAATTCATTCAACTCCTCTCCTGATCTCTACAGACCCAAGGCCAGTCAGAGTACGAAGGACAAACATGGAGGAATGATGTGCGTCATGGACGACGTGTTCTTGCACATACTTATGAATATACAATATGTGTGCATCTGTGTGTATGTATGGCCTGTATTTGCGCATCTGTCATCAGCAGTGTTTTGCACACACATACATACACCTGTCTCGGTTAGCCAGATTGTACCCTAATGGCACCATGGGGACCCAGGACATTAACATATTAAAAGGTGACATTTCACACTCTGAGCTTTGCAGTATAGTGCAGTCCAATCACTTTGACAGTCTGACAGCCACACAGGCAGGCCAGAGAACAGATACAAGACTGTGGACTGCACACAATGGCAATATGGGAAAGTACAGTCACTAATGGATTTGAGTCAGAAAACACATGTCCAGGTGCAGTACTGACACCAATGTCAGTGTGTCCCTATAGAAAGAGGGAACTTTACAAATGACCTCACTCACAATGCAATCTAATAACTCACAATTTCCTGAACATGACTGCAATGTACATTGCTACAGAAGCTTTGAATTATTACTGAGGCCTGAAGGAACTTCAACTTTTTCATTTTCCCAAAGGAAATTTCCTTTGCAACCAGACATTAAAATACAAAAATAAAAACAAAGGTTAAGAACAAAGAGAAAGGGTTAAGTCAGATGAGACAAAGCCAAAAAGCCAATACAATCTACTGGGCAGAGAAGGACAAAGCTTTATACAGGTCCTATATGTGTCAAGTACAAGAGTACCCCCCCCTACATTAGGATCCAGTCTCTGAACAGCTACAGGAGTAAATTAGAATCACCACTTCATGGTTGTATGCCTCCACCAACCAGTCAAATTCACAGGAATGGACAGACGTAAGGTCACTGACCTTGAACTTTGACCATCAAAATCTAGTCAGTTCATCCCTGAGTCCAAGCAGACACTTGTGCCAAATTTGAAGAAATTGCTTCAAAACGTTCCTGAGATATCGTGTTCATAAGAATCGTATGGATACACAGACAACAACCTGAAAACATAATGCCTCCAGCTGCAGCTACTGCCAGGGAGGAGGCATAAAAAGGGTCAGAAATATTGTGAAGTGGGTGATTGGGATAACTGAAGTTCTGAACATCCATAATAACCCTTTTAAAACAGATGCCCTGAAGATGGGCTTACTCCACACTGATCATTTTACTGGCCGCCTTGACCATTCCAATATAATTTACCGAACTGAGACCACCAAACCAAACCACAATCCAATAAGTAAGAGCTGATTCAATACAAGACTTTATCAGTCACAAGAACTTTGACACCTTAAAATAATTCATCTTCCCTTGAAAAAGCAAATGTTGCTGAACGTTCTTGTAGACTGTGTGTTAGATTCAAAACAGAGCTTGTTATCAATCACAGCTCCAAAAATGTAAACTTAGTTACAACATCAATATCTGTGCCAAGGATATTAGTGCAGGTTTTGCTGGGGTATGTTCTTCTAAAGTCAGCCAGCATGTCTTTGGTTTTGGTTATATTAATCCTTAAATGAAAGGACTGAAAGCATGCTGCACATAAACAGAAATGCTGGCAGGGAAAACAAAACTGCACTTTTATAATATATCTGTTATCTGTTTATCTGTGTCACATTGTTGGGAATGTCAAACATTACAAACACACCACTTCTACATAAGCCCTGCTCATCACAATCTACACCCATACTAGCTAAAAGAATTACAGGCAAAACTGAAAGAACCTGATTCACTATAAGGAAAGAAACTGGGTTATTTACAAATAACGGCGGCTGACACATTAAAATCATCTCATTCAGAGGAACCCAACTTCCCCTGGATCTCGCACCACTTATTCAATCCTGGCACATACATGAACACACACACTGGCTATTACATACCCGCACATCAGGGCCCAGTATTTGAGAGAAGCTTCAGCAAAAGCCTTGGTCATCTGTTACCATCATTTTCCTCTGCAGGGCAGCATGATGTGAAACACCTGGGTTGGGACATAATCCTCATACCTTCGTCTCTGCTGTCACATGTTACAACGGCTCCACATACTACTACTGTTAGAACTAATAATACACCCCTGTCAGCACAATATTACACTGCACGTTGAACTGAAGAGATAAAAAGAGAGCGATGTCTGTCGCAAGACAGCGATGAGCAAAAGAGTCAGGGAGATAGAGCAAGAAGCTGATTAATACAGACTGTTTATCAAACAGCAAATTCTGAACAAAGAGAGCTTTTATCAAAAGCCTAATGATGTTGCCACTGACATGATGCAAAATAGAGGGATTTCCCTCTGCACATATTACACATCACCTGTACTGTGAGGAAGCTCATCTGCTTTCTGATTTCCAGTTCATAAGCAAGCAATTACAGGAAGCACTCCTCCCTGCATGTGTCCTGTGAAAGGCAATTTTCAGGTTGTTGCATCTTGCCGTCCTCTGTCTTATTGCTCTCTTCAGTTTCTTTACAACTATTCCATCAACACAACAGCCCATTTTGCAGCATGCCAATTTTGAGAAGGCACTGAATAGAGCTGCCTAGCAGGAGCCCTAGGATGTAATAAGGGAAAAAAAATTAAAACAAAAAGAAGCTATGTGGGTAACTGGAGAAATTCCGACTGCTTCACACTTCAGAGTCAGGCTAGAATAATTGTAGTTGCAGAAACCTGCTTTATTGTTATGCTACCCCTGGCAGGGGAGCTAGACACCCGGCTCCTTCAGTTCAAAATCTGAAAAGGATGAAAATCAGCTGCTTCAAAGACCATCAGTCACAAGTTCAGCCTGTGATTACACTCATAAGGTTTAGTGTGATACAAACCACTCATTCAAACATTTTTGCAAGATCGGCCACTGATTTATGTTGAAATTTAGACACCACTCAAGCAGTTCACTCCTCCTAAGTTTGATTTTTGAGACATGTGCTGGCAGCCAGCCCATGACACAGAGCTTGCTAAAAGAGAAAAGGGTGTTGGAAACCTGACAAATAATAAACTTCCTTATAACCAAGTAAACTACAAAATAAATGCCCTTTAAAAAGTACCATTTTTTTTGTCTTGCCTTCTTCACATATACAATTAAGGGTTAGAGTGAAAATTTACACCTTCAACAACCTCAGCTGTAACACATAAAGCCACATACACTAAAGAACTGAAAGTTGTAAATGTACCTTCATTAGTACTGACTCGCTGAGTTTCTCACGGTTGACGATCTTTATGGCGACTTTCTGGCACGTTACACAGTGGACTCCGAGCTTGACCAAACCTGTGAAACAAACAAGAACATAAACACATAGGGTCAAACGCTGCACTCAGGATGAATAGTAAGGTGACAGTTGTTTAGATGACACCAAGAAAGAAAATCATAATTATGCACTGTAGTGAATTTAATTTACTTAAGCAGATTATGTGATAACATTTAAATTGACGTGGAGTGAATGTGATGAAATTTAACATTTTTTTTCTTTTTCTGGCTAACCACTAATTTGCCAGATTGATGTAAAATGATGTGTGCCTCATGTACAGAGCCCTGATAATGACATCTGCAGTGCAGACAAATAAACCATCCTCTGGGGATTATTTGACTCATAAAGGCCGTAAGTGAGTGAGTCATTTGTGTTATCGATTCCTATAATGTACTAAGCAGCTATAACGCAGTTGTGTTGGGTTAGCTAAAATGGAAAATAAAAGGTTGAGGTAACAAACAGAGGCATTAAAAAGCCAGACGTCAGACAATGAATGGGACTCGATATTGACCAGGACTCAAAAATGACAGGAATGAAGCATCAACAGACCGAACTGTGGGAGAGTAAGTCAGCAACCAAGCAGAAAACATTACCCTTTATTTCACAAAACAAACACACTGCATGGGGGGTAACTGGAATGTCTGATACATCACATCAGTTCTATTGAGAACCACACACAAGCGTTCCAACATAAATCCTTAGATTCGCTACACAACCACAGAAGCATCTCCCCTGTTAGTAAATGTCCCCAGGTTAAGCAATCAACCACAAACAATGTAGAACACAAGCTGGGATACCTCATTGAGTGTACAGTTACAGTGGAACAATGTGGTGTGTTTGTGCACATGTGACACAGGAGAGCCATGACAACAGGACAAATCCATTTTCTGTCAGGGACCACAGAGTTGCTCACATATTAGGAAGATATTTGCATCAGACAGATCACTTACAAAGTGAAACAATCACACACCCATAAGCAAACAAATGTTGACTTGCTATTATTGATTTCCCCAGTGGCCCTGTGGTGCTGCAGACAATTGTAGATGACAGGAGATACCTTGGTGAACTACAGCATCTGAGCAGGCTATTGTCTGGCACACCAAATTTACAGAATCACCAAGTGGAATAATGCGAATGCTTTGATTTCTTGCCACTCTCATGCTGGCAAAGAAGATGGTGGAAGTGTTACTATAACGTGCTTAAGACAGAAATGGTGCAGTAGTACTAAAAAAATAAAAATAAAAAAATTTAAAAAATGATGAAAAGTAGCATCCTGCAGCAAACTGGCTGGCTGACATGAGCCAGATTTGCATAGTTTTCCAGCTCGTTCTCCCACTGTCTCCCTCACAGTGTGGTTTCTATAAGAACCAGTAGAAGAGGAGAGTCAATGGGCTTTGAGGAGGTGGTGGAAGCAGAAACAAAACAGAAAGCTGAAGTAAGTGAGAAAGATGGTGAGAAAGAAGCAGCAGTGGAAAAGGAGAAGACACCAAAAGTAAATAGAGTACATGAAAGATGAGGAGAAAAAGCGAAAGGGACTTCAAGTCAGGGGTAGCACATTATTCAAATGACAGGCCACAGATAATTAAGCAATAATGGAGAGCATTGTGTGGGCGTGAGGCTCTGACTTGGGAGTTGAGGGCCCGCAGGGGCTGAGAGTGAAGAACCATGGAAGAGAGGAGGCATGAGAGAGAGAGAGAGAGAGAGAGAGAGAGAGAGAGAGAGAGAGAGAGAGAGATGGAGAATGACAAAGAACGAGCAAACTAGGAAGGAAGTGAATGGTATAAAAGAGGAAGATAAAAAAAATGAAAGATTCAGAAAAGAGGATGAGGCAGTTGAGCGAAAAGGGAACAAGAGACAAACCCATTAGCCCTGTGATAGCAATCATATGTTAATGGTTGCTATAGAAAAGCTCATAAGTCATGATAAACACATTAAAGAGAAAATATCTGCCTGCAAACACATGAAAAGTTAACTGTATTATTTTCCTCACTATTCATCTTCCTCCAGTGCCTGTGGTTTCATGAGCAGAGGGCGCATTAGCAAGAGGGATCTGTGCATGAGAACATAAGGCATTATGATTTTACAACCACTTTGCGTATGGATTAAAATGTACTCTTACAAGGAAGTTCAGTACATAATGCACAGGAACGTCTCTTTTATACCACATACATAAAAATCATGACTTAAAAACAACAGCAATGATAGAACTACAGTAAGAATAAAACATGGTAAAACACATTCAACATAAAAGCTTAAATTAAAAAAACTGGCCCAGTGGAATGCCACATAACTGGATGTGTGTCTTGTTTTGGGCAAATCATTATTTTGGTATCGTGTTAGCAGTAGTAAACATGAAGCAAGCAAAAAGCTATGTTCAAGGGACCCGGATTCCCTAAAAACACAGATGCCTACCTGCAGAATATCAGGCTCGAGAAAAATGAAAATTTCCCTATCTTTGAGTGTTAATAAAACATGCCAACATACGAGGCTACATCATAGAAGCAGCCTCATATGTTGGCTGTACTTAGTAATGCTCACCATCGTTGTTTTGTGTGTTAGCATGCCAACATTTGCTAATTAGCAGTGAGGATGGTCAAGTCAAACTTTTCAAGTATGCGATCATAAACCAAAGATTTGGACAAATTTTAATTTTGGCCAGATGAAAAGTTACTGGAGTTATTACAATTAATCCTGAGGGGAACATGAAAGCCTTAATATCAAGGACATCCTTCTAACAACTGTCAGATACAGAGACATGTGCTTGAGATTGTGGGGTTTGCAGGAGCAGTCGCCCAGAAACCCACTTTCTACATCATTATCATCATCAACTTTATTTATATAGCACATTTAAAAAGCCTCAAATGCCAAAAGATACAGATGAGTTTTCAAATACACTTTAAAAGTGGACAACGCGGGGGCCTACCTGATGTATAGGGGCAATGCATTCCACAACTTTGGAGCCCCCACAGCAAAAGCCCTGTCCCCCCTAAGTTTCAGCCTAGCCCTCGGTATCTCCAGAAGCAGCTGATCAGCTGATCTGAGGCACCGAGAAGGACTATAGGGACGCAACAACTCTGTAAGATCGCTACAAAGACTTGTCCATGTACAGTATCTTCACTGGAGCATGTTTCAAGCTTAACGCCATCACAGCATTTTTATCATTTTTGACCACCACCAGCACTTCTAACCCCCAAATATACTTCTAAATATCCTCCCCCTAATTTGCATCTGCTTTTCCATGACCCCAGATCAACTGCTTAACCGCCCACTCCCTTGGTCCTGTAATGAGTGTGACTGCCTAATACTCCCTGTGTCCATTTGACCTGACTGTGATGATACTCCAGAGGAAACCCTCACAACACTGGGTGAACTGGGGAGGCTGGGGGAAGGGTGTTGAGGAGATAACCAGGAAGACACCGGCGTTTCATCTGGATCTGGCTGGGCTGAGTAGGTAGGATGTCTTTGAACATAGCTTCAAACATAACAGAGCACAAAGGATCAGAGCCTAGCAGGGGGAATACAGAAGAGATTACCACTGCAGTTGCCAGTGTCTTCACAGAACTATTCGTATATTAAAATTTCATTTTAATATGATCTCTTGTAGTTGCTTTGGGCTATTATTAAAAAAGAAACTAAATAATTCTTTCAAACATGTGTCATAAAAAGGCATGTACCTTGGTAAGTGCAAAGCTAATGTGTGGGAGTGTTTGTATTCTTGTACTCCCTCTCTAGAAAGTACAGCTGTGATAAAGTGTCACATATACAAGAGGTATTTTATTAACTGGACCAGGGCACGCATCCAGACTGGTACTGTCACATTCACTTGACACTTATATACTTTTCATTAACACACACTCATAGACAAAAGAAAGCTGTGGCACTGAATCAACAAGTACATTGATCTCTCCTCTCCTTCGGCCTCCTCCCAAATCAACAGCACCAAAAGCTCTCGTCTTCACAACAAGGTCCAAATAAAGACACCACCCAAGGATTTATGGGCTGGAGAGGCCACCACTGACTGACCTCCAGCCTCCATCCCAGCTTCACACTCTTTACTCTCCATGTGCCTCTGTGATTAATGATTTAATGTGGCAGGGATGCTGGAGGAAGACACAGAAAGAGAACTTTGGTCCAAGGCTCAGTGAGAATCAGAGCTGAGCAGCTTTTAGCTTTGCTATGCTGGAAGCTGCCGCACTGCTTCAAAGTGGTTTCAATCATTGTCCTGCTGGCTCTGACAAACCAGGGATGAATAATAACGTTTTTGAATAAAAGCTAAGCTGATTGCGTTTGAAGAGCCTGACCATTTAGAAGACGCTGGCAAGAGAAATGAGGGTCAAAAATAAAGAGGCAACGCAAGAACAAGAACAAGAAAAAAAGAAAAGAAAAAACACCAATCACGACTTTGTAGTAACCAAAAATTTATTAAATGCATTAACAACAATATCTGCATAGAGTTGTAAAAAGACATCTGTCTTGAAAAACATCTCTTAGGTGCCAGAGTACATTTATTATGGCAGCATGTAGCTGAATTTTCTTTTTAAATGAGCACCTCGCAAAAGATTTTAAATGGGAACGATGTTTGCAATTAAAAGAACATTTTCAACCAACCTGAAATATTTACTTACAACATATCCAAGTCCCTAAGTCACAACAAGCTAAGCATGAAGAGAGTTGTGTTTAGTGGGTCAGGAAAGTTAATTTGTACTGCAAGAGGTTGCCACGTGCCATAAACAAGCTTTTGGTATACTACATGATTTGGCAGCAGGGTAGTTTGTCTGAATGAGCTTTAGTAGAACACAAAAAGGAAACTGTGTAAAGCACTTTATTTAAATCCTTTGACTTGTTATGGGAGTTCCCAAGCGAGCCTTTGTTGGCATGTTTACGTTTGCTTTGCTCTGGCCTCCCTTGGAGCCTTTAGCCTGGCATAGCAGCAAGGAAACCCCCAGTCCCTGAGAGAGGTGAGAGAGAGAGAGAGAGAGAGAGACCTTGTCTCCTTCTGTGTTAACTTGTCAAAGTTCTCCCTGTTCTTGCCTCTAAATCATGGCAATCAGTGGTCAATTTATTACCAGGCACTGGCTGGACACCCAGGGAGGAGCAGCTATTAGAGGAAAAGGACCCTGACTGTGAGCCTCATTTCCCTCGCCATCGATCTGAGACACCGATAGGGAGCCAAGGAGAGGAGAAAAGAGAGCACAGGAATACCCTGCTTGTATCTAAGCCTTGAGGATGTTTTTTATGATCTCCACCTGATAACCACAAACATATCCACACAGCCACACAGGGTCAATGTTTTCAACTTTATCCTCCTCACAATACCGGCATCCATACAGTTAACGATCATTACTGGATAATTTAATTTCCACCTGGAAGCAACTACCAAGGAGAGGAGAGCAAAAGATGAAAATGAGATGTCTCCATTTGTGCTCCTCTCTTGCTTTCAAATTTGATCTTTAAGAAACCCTAAGCCAATGCCAGCAGATGGTAGTAGTTTATGCTGGCTTAGCTTTCGCTCCCTGAGGCACCAGCTCTGAGAAGCTCTTTACCCTGAGGCACAGCTCTGTGAGCTGCTTTCCATTTCTGCTCCCTAACCCTGAACACACTATGTCGGGGCTACAGCTCTGCCCTGGTATCAGTGTTTGAAAAAACAAAAAACACTATGAGCCACTGGGGTTTATTCCTACGGCTTCTTCTGGCCACATATGTGAGAAAGCCACTTCAGCATTCCCTCCTCAAAGGCAAAGAGCAAGAGTTGAAGGCCTAGTACCAACCAACCACCACAGCTGGTTGGTTGTAGTGTTGTGTGTACTGTCTTTTTCTCTGGTACAGTATTTATATACCGTACTAAATATACAATGAAGACCCTGGCAAAAATATCTCAGTGGAGGCACAATGTGATTCGAGAACTTCTGTCTTTAATAGCTAGCACCAGAATCATCAGACAATTAAGGGAACTGTAAGAGACTCTGTTTACGACCAAATAAACCGGCTTCATGACGGCGTCATGTCCTGCCTCCTGCACGCTCTAACCACCTTCCACTCCCCTGCATAAACCAAACTGAGTATTTCCAGTAGGTGAGAACGTGTCTGACACGGACTACCTCCTGTTGTGTGCTACATGTGTGAAAGGGCAACTCTGGACAAAGTCCAGGCCTGATTACACGGACATAGTCTGGAGTTCATGTATGAAAATGGTTTCTGTTTCCAATCAGTGTCTGCTTTGTCTGCTCTCAGTTTTATCCAGATACTTAATATACTAGTCTTTCCCTCATTTATCAGTTTCTTCCCTCATTCCTTCTTTATCATCAGCGTATTCCGACTCATTTGTCTCCCCTTCTCTCTATTCATCATCTCATCTATCCACAAAAAAAAAGAGAAAGAAAGCGAATTCACCAGCAGGGAGCTGCTGAGTCATATTGTGCAGGAGAGAGACAGCGTGTCGAAGATCAAACAGTGCTCACTCACTTCTCAATGAATGCGCTCTGTCCCTCTCTCCCACTGCTTCTTTCCTCTGTTCATTCACTAAATCTCTCCACCTCCTTCATTCCTCCACCTCCTCTTCGCTCTTTTTGCATTCTCAGTCACGTTAGCCTGAATTCCCCTGAGCTCTCTAAACCCTGTCAGCCAAAGCAACGGCAGCAACATCGGTATCAACAGAGGCCCAAACCAACGGAGTTTCAAAAGCAGGAAGAGCAGTTTAGCCCTGGAATACAGGAACAACTAGGGAGGCACGCATACAGAAAGTGTTTAATTGGCCTGTGCAAAATAAGACATTCGCTTAACAGCTTGGTTGTAAATTAAAGTAACTCTCTGCACAAAACATGGACCTCTTGGTAAATACAACAACACCTTACCAAAGTTATTTTTTCAGAACTTCTCTTTCCAGAGCACCCTGGAGATCACAGACTTGAACCTACAGCTGAAGGGCATTTTTTAGTTCATTACTGTTTTTCTATAACAGTGCTTCTGTGTGCTTTGACTCAAGTGATGGAGAGTGCACTCTATAGATTTAGGTCCATTAGCGCCTGTTACTCAAGTATTATCTACAGCAGCTAATGTCTGCTCCCTGTGTGTATGAACCATATTTGAGTGTGTGTGTTTGTTTTTAGCTGTTTGGGTTAAAGAGAGAGTGGATACATAGCATGGGAAGCAAAGTCATAATTTACATAATATAGCCCCAACAAAACCAAATAGAGTGAAATGGGGTGTAAGGCGATAAAGTACTTGGTGGCTTCAGGGCAGTAAGCTATTTTTTTCCACATTCAGAAACAAGTATGAGAACGATTGAGCAGATCCCCTAAAGGCAGAGACTGCTGCGTGACCCACTTAATTATCTAACAAGCAAAAACCCAATTCTGCATCACCATCTGCATCAGCGTCATTGGCATGCACCAACATATCCGCAGAAGCACGTCACCTACATGGTGGAAGATACAAGCATCACACACTCTGCCATTGCCAGGGGTAACTAACACATGATTACACAGTAGAAAAGAGCTCAGAAAGTTCAGGCTGTGCCAGTCAGTGACTGTGCAATAAGTACTTGAATACTGATGACTTGGTGCTGGAAACATTTCACTTGTTTACCAGATATTTATATTATTACTTGTATATACTGAAGCCAATACACATTAGACTGAATTGTGCTGCTTCTGTAGATTAAACAAGTACAAGCACCCCCTCCAAATAAAGTCAGGGCCAACTTTTAGCCTCTTGTGAGGAGACAATCTCCCCATTGAGATGAAGGGAGGCAGTGACATCTCTTCTCTTCTAAATCTCTCAGCTGAGATGTCACTGTAGATTTCAAAATACTCCACTCTGAATTTTGGTCTGATGTGACTGGAAGTCCAGCCACAGAGCCGAGTGAGTGTGACGCTGTCGGAGGAATGTTCTGCCCAAATCCCAAATGGGAACATCAGAGCAAACACAGTGGGTAGATATGTAGAAGATGAGAGGAGCAATGAAAAGAACAAATTTAAAAAAAAAAGTCTGTGACAATGAGGCCAGTGACAGTGAGATGAAGAAATACTGATGATAGATAAATAGACACACACTGGGAGAAAAACAGTCAAAACAGAGAAAGTGAGGCCTAGGAGGGAGGGGCATGAAGACTCAGATCTATTTTTAATGCCTCTGACTGGAGATCAGCAAAAGGAATGTATAATTACAGCCTCATGAATAATGCAAACAGGCTTCTTTTAATTAGCGACACCAGGCCCAATGCAGCAACTGCAGCAGACGGTACAAACATGCTCATGTACCCCCCCAACACACACACACACACACACACACTTTTACAGTATACACACACTTGTACACCCAAATGGATAAGATGATATGATGATGAAGAGGCAAAATGATGAGCTAAGGATCGGTGCCTTGGCGATGACTCTGATAAGCTTCACAGTAAGGAACCTCTAGACACCACTTAAAGAGCTGCACATTGTCTGCCTGTCGTGTTAGATAACTCA